GGGAGAGGATTAGCAAAATGTTTAGAATGTTGGAGGCAGGACTCAGGTAAAGCAGCCAGTGGATAGGGAGACCCTCTGAATGACAGATCAGAGAGCGAACTGATTTTGGAGCGTGTGGAATGTTCTAGAGAAGTGCCACCACCATTCGGCTTTTATTTATAAGGGAGAAAAGTATACATCAACTTGACCACTTACAAAGGAACATTCTAATCAAAGATAAATAGACACCAGTTTAATCGCTTAAAAGAAAATATTCTTTGCCTTGTTCCGAGGCAAAGGCCAATGAGGCTGCATATGCAAATAACCTCTGTGTTCTGACTGGCTATGGGGGGGGGGGAACAGCAAAATGTTTAGAATGTTGGAGGCGAGACTCAAGCAATGCAGCCAGTGGATAGGGACAGATTCTGAGTGACACACCAGGGCGTCAACCCATTCCGGAGCGTGTGGAATGTTCTAGAGAAGTGCCACCACCATTCCGCTTTTATTTATAAGCGAGATGACTAGTGTTCCCTCTAAGCTGACTTAGTGTGAGCTAGCTCACAGTTTTTTAGCCTCCAGCTCAGACATTTTTGTCTTAGCTCAAGAAGGATGGCTCCAGAGTAAACTAGTTTATGCAGCAGCCCAATCGCTCGCTCACAACTTTAATGCCAGCCACTCACAAAGCAGAATTTTTGCTCACAAGACTCCACAGCTTAGAGGAAGTATTGCTTATGACTTTTTCATAGTATGTGAGCCACCTTGAACAGTTATATCCTGAAGAGGCATCAGGGGAAAATAGGCTAAATAAATAACACACATACTGATATAATAAATACCAAATAAAACAAAATCTGAAATTATTATGGGTTAGCTGTTTTGTAGAATTACAATGCGTGCAGAGTAGTTCCCTTGTAAAATCTACTTTAACGCCGCAATCTGATACACCTGGGGTTCCCAACGTGGCCCCTTAGGTACCACAACACCCAACAACACCTTTTCTGGCCACCACCCAGTGTTTTTAGAAAGTGGGTAGGGCCCTGTAGGGCTTTTGTCCAGCTAGGCTTCTGATGGGCTACGCAGATTTTTAAAATGTTACTTGGGCAACAGCGCAAGGATCTACCCTGTATTACTGAGCTTAACTGTTACTGAACCACAATTGTTTTATGGCTGGCTCCGCCCCCTGAGGCAGCCATTTTGTTGCTGGGCCTTCCATGCCGTGCCAGAAATCCAAATCTGCCCACAGGCTCAAAATAGTTGGGGACCCCTGTGATACACCATTAAGTGGAAGTAAGCTCCTCCGTATACAATGAGGACCAACAGCACAACCACATAAGACGGTGGGGTGCCGTCACTGGATTTCCGGGCAGTATTTACTTTTCCTTAAAGAAGTAGGGGAACTCTAGATCAGAGCTGGGTTACTGGGGCAGGGAGATTAACTCTTTCTCCTTTCATTCCTATTTCTCCCCCCCCCCCCCCAAAAAAAAATTATCTGGAGGTCCTGAGGGTAAATGTAGAGTACACAAGAAACAACAGAACACATATGGGAGGTACAATACAGTTGTCTGTCTTTTTCCCCCTGCCAGAGCTAACAGCAATTCAGGAAGATTGCTTTCTTCCAAGAAACACCATGGGAAAGAGGGAAGAGTTTAAATATATGTCCTGGTGCCACTCATCCCAGCCCAGACAGCTTCCTCTCCCACAACTGCTTGGAAAGAAAATTAAAGACGTTTGAAGATCTAGTCATAATTGACTTGCCTAGTTACACCCTTAATAATACATAAATAGTTGTCAGATCATGCTGTGAAAAC